ACAGAAGGTTTCTTTAAAAAGAAATGAACAGGTTCCTTCTAATACAAGGCCCAAAAGTACTAGCTTCACCAGCTCTGGAGGGTTTTGAGATTTCTTCCCCAAAGAACGTACTAAAAATGAAGTGATAATGAGTGGAAGAGTGGTAACATGCGCTCTTTCTTGGGTGTCAGGAGGAAGTGTTTGGTTAACCAATATCCCCCCTTAGTAAGAGGAGATAAACTGTGGCCAAGATCCTTGTTCTCCTTTTCTTGCTCAGCTTCTCCTCTCATCTTTTAACGAGACGTGCTACACCAAGCGTTCAAAAGACTCTGGGTAATTACATCACTAGTACATCATTTTGGGAGCGAGAAGCCTGTTTGCTCCATGACTTATACTGGCACAACACCAAGGGCACCTATCTAATTATTAAATATTTATTGCACCTTTAATAGGTCAGTTACAAAAGCAGAATCTTCCAGAAGAGCAAGCTGGAAGGAAAGAGAAAGTACAATTAAAGGCTGCTGCTTTGTTGCAGTGTCAGGGCCAGGTGCAACACTCCTAATTTCCCTTGTAAGGCAAATAACCTGGCTTTCCTATGATAAAATCTGATGCAGCTGTGCCTGGAGTAGTTGCCTTTAGCAGCTTACTCATTTCTGCAACTCTCTGCACCATTGCTTAGTGCTGCACATGACTGACCACCTGTGCCATGGCTGTAGTAATATTTTCCCTGTAGCTGTCCCTTTTACTACATCACACATTTGAGTGGTTGGGTGACTTAATAGTGGTTTTGGGAGACAGAAGTTTGCCTTAGATATGTTCACAGGAGCTTGGAGGGGTTAACTTGTGAGAAGTTAGCACAAGCTGCTGGATCTGTGATCCTGCTCTCTTTTTCTTTTTCCCCCTCATTTTCAGGTTTCCTCGCTCTCTGTCACATACCTATGGGGAAATGCAACATGAGTGACTACTGTGCACCAGAGCCCAAAGTCTTGAAGAGCTGGCTTTCTGTTGGCGAACGCTTTGCAATGCCACCCTTGGGATGTCTGGGTGCAGACCCCCAGCCCATGTCAGGCCTCACCGCTCGATGGCATTTCCTCCAGCCACCAACACGCACTGGCCCACGAAGCAGAAAAGACAGAAGCGAGCCCTGGAAAGCAGACCCATGTCTCCAGAGCCCAGCAGGTTTGCTTGCCCTCGGCTGCCGACAGGGAAACACAGCTGGAAAGCTGCTGGCAGAGACATACGCGGGGCTGCGGGAACGTCACACTGGGACCACGCGCCACAGCTCCAGCTCATTCATCCAGATGGACGCCGCGATTTACGCCCTGCCTAACTGGTCGTCCTGCCAGGGATTGCTGCTGCCCACCTTCCCCACCCTGCTTCGTACCTTTCCCGGCAGCTCAGAAAGAACTGAAAGCGTGATTTGCTCAGCCTCCCAAACCTCCCACGGGCCTGATCCTGAGCGCACTGAGGCTCACCGCCGGCTCCGGGCGAAGCCCTTCCCCACTGCTAGTGCATGTTGCTCTCACCTAATAGGTGACAGAAATCAGCACAAGCAGACCTTAAAAAAACCTGATGCCTTCTGTCACAGGAGCTTTAACGATGATTAAAAGAGGTGAAATTTTCATTGAATTCCCGCTGGGATGTTGGTGAGGGTCATGGGGTATGTGGGCTCTCATAAAACTCATCCCTTTTACTGGCCTACATCTAAATGGTGCTGATTAATTCACTTGAGGGCACCTAAATTTAGACCTGCCAGCTTCCTCTCCCTCAGTCTTTCCATACATCAAAGGAGTGTAGCAATTCATTCATATCGTGCATGGGTGGCATGAGCATTCACCAGTGCCTCCAGACTTTTGCAAGAGAAACTGTCTAAGGACTGATTTTGAAGCCTTCGCTGCCTTTCTACTCTGCCCTTTCTCGAGCCACGTTCTCTGACTTTAAGGAGCAAGCAAACCCACACTTCTGAAGGGCAAAGACGTGTCTTTAAAAGTGCTTCCTGGTTCCCCCCTGCATTTGCCAAGAGCCGTCTATTGGCTCGCCGTCCTATCAAGTGACTCCTGGGTATGACACGGCATACAGCAATCTGCTGAAGCACAAAATACGTTTAATTTCCAACTTCCCCACAGTCAACTTGCGTATTTTTAACAGCCACGTTCCCTCTCCGACGGCTTGGGGGAAAAAAGTATGTTGCATTTATAGTCGTGAAGAAGGTGGGTGGGAGTGAGGGCACCTGAGGAGCAAAGGCCCCCATAGTCGAGTGACTGTGTGCATGGGACAGCTACAGCACTGTTAAGCTAAATGGTGAGACACTCTAAAAAAAAAAAAACAAATACAGACAAAAATAATAAGAAAACAGGGTGTGTTTTCTGGGTGTGTGTTTTTTTTTCCCAGCCAGAGGACCCACATTCCTATGTATGATTTTTATTACGTGCTGTCATGATAGTCACTAGTACACTCTAAGAATCAAGTGCAGATCACATGAATTATATTACTGTCCAGTTATTTTAGGCATTCATACAACAATCCCACAGTGACATTTTGCACTTCTAACTGCTGTATGGCTAAGCTTGTACTTGACTGTAAGCACACCAGGAGGCAAAGGGCGGCAGACGGGATCTGAGGACGGGGGGCAGGTAGGCACCCCTCCTCGTAGTTCACAGAGGGCTTATCCACCCACGCTCACCTATAGAAAGCAGAACGAAGGTATTTATTATTGGGTGGATTGTTTCCTTCCTTTGCTTGCGCTAGCTTCTGCGAGAGCCGTGCGATGCTGAGCTGAGGCGTTCGGGAGCTGGGTTTTGAAGGTAGTTCGTGTTTCTCTACCATTTTATCCTGCCCGGCAGTAGGTTGCAAAGCAAGGTGCCTTGGCTGATAAGGCTTTCCTGCTTTCCCTCTCCTGAGCCAGCCGCAGCAGCTGCACCTCCCCAGAGCAGCACAGGGCACAGGCACCAGCTGCCTCTGCCTGCCACAGGGGCACGTGGACACAAGGGCAGCAGGGACCAGCCGGAAGAAAAAGCAAAAGCCAGGAGCTACCAAGCCCTCGTGGTACTGCTTCTCACCCACAGATATCCTAGCTCCTCTGGTGTTGCCACCAAATTAAAAAGGGGATGCAAACAGCATGGGACAGGAAGGGGAAGGAGCATGGATAGCAGCACCCAAAGTGCTTCGGATAGGAAAAACCAGGTGTGGAAAGGGCTAGGCAGGAAGCGACCCACTGTAGGGCACACAAAAGTTGCACCCAGAAGCAGGAGGGAGAGCAAAGGGGATGGCACCGCGGGGTCAGAAAAGAGAGCCTTGTCATTGTGGTTCTGCTGCTGTAGGAAGCCACAAACTTAATAAACTTCCAAAATAAAAAGTTACTTATTCTCAGTACAAATTTCCAGCCTAAGAGACCTCCAACACCAATCTCATGGGGCAAGCTTTGAGGCTATGAGGGCTGTTACCAGCTTTTTGTGTCCACCACAAAAGCAAAGCAATCTATCAGGGCACATCCTGTTGGGATGGGTTGGTACCTGTGTCCAAGCCAGACTGCCTTCTGTTATCTTTTTTTGTTTTTTGTTTTTTAACGAAGCATCTTTTTATCCAGGACCTCCACTAAATCTTCCTGTCCTCTGCTCAGTTGCATCCCAGAGGAAACCTTCCACAGGCTGGTAACCTGGCTGCTAAAGCCTGCAGAAACACCCCATTCATGACACAGTCAGCACCAGGCATCCCAAAACCTAACATCACTTTTCCTGCGTCCCATGTAGTGGGAGCTGGAGTCAGTAACCTCATACTCCAACATAATGATTCTATGATATCCTACCAGCCCAAAAGAAGGAAAGGAGGGCTGCAACAGCCCCGTTTTGCACTCTTGCACTCCGGGATGGGCAGTAGTGCAGCAGCGTGCAGTAGAACAAAGGACCTCTCCAAAACACAGAGAAATAAATGAGACAAATGGAAATTTAAGTTTCCATGACAGAGTCCCTTTGGCTGGGAAAGATTAAAGGAATTCTGTGAGGACTGTTTCTGGTCCTGGCTGACTCCCTCCAAAAGCAGAACTGCTACAGATGCTCACAGTGTCTCTAGTCATCTATATTAATTTCAGTGTTTACCACCGGGCAAGCACTGCTCACAACAGCGAGCACTTCGGTGCTGCAGAAAGCCTGCAACCCACAGCGAAAGAGAGCTGCTCTGCTGCCCTATCCTGTGCTTTGGGCGGTGGGGGGAGAAAAAGAAGAAAAAAGAAAAGGAAGAAGCACTCCCGTGGTTTATCCCTGCGACCTGGCCCCTTCCTGCCTTTCGGCTTTGCAGGAGCCACGCTCTCCGCGCACTGCGGGCAGCACCAGCCTCCTTCTTCCCCTACGGCCTCAGGGAGCCCGGCTCCGCCGCGGGGAAGGGGGGGGAG